AAGGATGTCATCAATGTAGACCAGGACGAACCGATGGAGGTACTCCCGGAACACCTCATTCATGTAACCCTGAAATACAGAGGGGGCGTTGACCAGTCCATAGGGACAAGATATTCAGAGTGTCCTGTTGGTGTCATGAAGGCTGTCTTCCACTCATCCCCCTCACGTATCCAGATGAGGTTAGAAGCACTCCTGAGGTCCAACTTGGTGAAGATCCTGGCTCCGCGACGTTGTTCCAGGGCTGCTGGGATGAGGGGAAAAGGATACTGGTACTTGACTGTGATCTTGTTTAATGCCCGGTAATCGATGCAAAGCCACAAGACTCCGTCCTTTTTGGCTACAAAGAAGAAACTCAAAGCAGCAGGGGAAGTGGATGGATGGATGTAACCTTGCTAAAGTGCCTACTCTATATACTCCTCCATGGCCTTCTGTTCGGGGATGGAAAGAGGATATATTTTACCTCGGCACTGGTTCATCGGGTAGGAGGTCGATGGCACAGTCCCATGCATGGTCTATGTGGTGATAATTTGGAGGCTCGTTTCAGGCAGAAAACATCACTGAAGGGGGCATATTATTTGGGTATATTCACAGATGGATTCTCAATAGGACTTTCGATGGAGGTAGTATTCACTGGAATCACTAGAACGATATGCAAGGGTTCGATGGATGGTTCTGGAGTGCTAGGATATTCTGGCTGGTGGAGAGATGGAGCTAGGTTTTGGCATAGGTGTTCCTCCATACATCATCTGACTCAATTTGCCCCTATGATGGAGAGTTGGATGAATCGCTCAAGCCCGATGGTGTCATCATAAGCAGAGAGATGCAGCAGCAGAGAGGGCTCTAGTCCTTGCCGCTAAGTGGTCAAGATGGAGCGCTCGTTTCATCCACTTGACCCAGTGGGGTGCTAGGTTGACCATGGGACTGGCAGTGTAGATCGGGGCCGAAGAAGAGACAGGTGCGGAAACGGGTGCTGGTGTTGTTGTTGTGCTAGTCAGAGCACTGAGAACTCGGCGAAGAGAATCCACCAGCTCCTGGAATGGATCCACCCCTGTCGGGTTTATGATGGTTTGGTCTGGTCTTCTGTCACGGGATACCAGACTCAGAGACACAGATATTGATAAACCCAAACAGGCGTGTTTATTGACAGTTTATGAAATAGACAGTGGCAGGTGAGTAATGGCGGAGATTTAGTCTTTATTATAGTCCTTATGATGATACCAGTTCTGATGATAATTGTCTGTTTTTCCAGGTTGAAGAGCACACATGGATTGACTTGTTGAAGGGAATGGTTTCCAGGAGCTGGTGACAGGTAAGTAGGCAGGTAAGGAGATAGGGGAATGTCTGCAGATGCTGGAGAACATCAAGGAGACGAAGGAATATGTGGAGCATGAATAGCAGGTAAGAGTTCATTCAGAGTCCTTAATCCACAAGGGAGACCAGACACTGTGACAAGAGTATGTGCTCTTATAGGGCCTGTTTAAACCTGGTCATTTCATGCGTTTTCGCTGATCGGATATCTATCTGATCTGTTAAAATGTTTCCATTTACACTTAGCCACGTAAATGTGTCGTCGCAAAACGGATATAAATCCGATCTTCAATTCCCGCTCTATATTGTTATTCTATGTTACCACCCCCTTCATTATAAACAGTATGTGATTAATTATGATGACATCTTGGACCATCAACCCAAGTGTCACTTTTGATTTAGGGTGCTTTCACACATGGCCTGTTGTTTCGGAACCTGGCGCGTTTCCCCCCCTAGCTCGGTTCGTTAAAATTTATCAAAATATTACTGTATTTTACAATATAATAATTTGAATACAATATAGTCATTTGAATTATGTTTCTGTCTGTATTTGACAGCTGTTTGCGCTTTGGTTTTGGCTTTAAGTAACCTTAAAGAAAAATGTATTTTTTTCGAGATACTAGCGTATGGTCAAATAAAACACAAGGGAGCAGCTACTTAACAGTCAATGTTGTCCAAGATAATGAGTATGCGCTCTGTGAGTGTGTGCATGTGAGTTGTCCGTCGACTAATTATCTCTGTGTGCTGGTGGTGAATGAAATTTGACTGCAGACGGCATGGATCTTCTCCCTCCTCTGGCTCTCTTAATGGACTCAATAATGGGATGATATCCTTATCATTCTTGTCTCTGCTCATCTGGAACATCAGGTTAATGACTCTGATTGGGTCGTGGCCAAAGAGATTCACCAAATGGCTTCGGCAGAACTCACTCATACTCAGAGATCTGAAGTTTTTAAGGGTTATGATTTGGATGCAGGATCACCATATTGGCAGCATCTTCAATTGGCTGCCTACTTTTTTTGATGAATTTACATTTAGGTAAAATGACAATCACAAATATATACAGAAAGAACAGAAAACAACTTATGAATATATGCTGTACCATGGAAATAATTTAAGGAAAATAATTAGGAAATGAACGCAAGCGATAAATTAAGAACAATGAATTAATTGATTAAAAATGTAAGTAAGTCAGCTTGGCAATAGATGCCATGAGTCATTAAGTCTATTAAATTTGTACAGTATGCATTTAAAAGGTACACTCTTAATGAAAATGGTTCTAAACAGTACCAGATTAGGGTTTTTAGGCTTGTAACAATAGCAGAAACATTTTTGGTGCTAAATATAACCATTTTTATAAGGCTCTAAAAAGAACCATGCTTTGAAAGTGCTATATAGAACCTTAATAGTGTTATAAAGAACCTTTTTTTTTAAATAAAATTTTACTTTCATTAGTATTATTTTTTATATTATTTATTAATATTGTTTTCACCCCTCTATCTGCCTGATTTGATAATATATTGTAGTCTCTATTAGGGCTTTACAGTTATAAATATTTTTTATTTTTTTATTGACATGAGTAATTGCAACAAAAATGACAGTGCTCTGACAAGTTATAAGTTATGACAGTAACATTGTGAAATATTATTACAATTTAAAAATAACTTTTCTATTTTAATATATTTTAGAATGTAATCTATTCCTCTGATGGTACAGCTGAATTTTCATCAGCCATTGCTCCAGTCTTCAATGCCACATGACTCTTCAGAAATCATTCTAATAAAAGCATTATTTTTTTTCTTTTAAAAACAAATATGTATTTTATTAAGTAGATGCATTAATAAATTATACACGACAAGTGACATTCAACGTGAATAAATACATAAAGACATAAAAAAAACATTAAAAAAGGATACAGTGAAATATCTTCACAATCATGTGAAGTCTTTATGTCCATCATTGTAATTGAGTCGCAGTTTCTCTCTGCAGATGATGAGGTTGTAGGATGTGACAGCATCTGGGTAGAAATACACTGAGTTTAGAGTTACAATGTGTCTCTTTCATTTAAACAGCCTGAGGGGGACTGACTTCATACATTCACTACAAATCACCTTGACACCAGTTGCCATTGTAAAATCTCTTAAAAAATCTTACTCTAAGAAAAAGTTCGACATCATTTGTTTGAAGAGTGAGATAAAGCGAGCACCACCAGCTCGTTTGGGGGACATAATGAGTGTTTGTAAAAATAAAAAATAAAAAAATGATGGCTCAATCCGCAACAGCACTTTTGTGCAAGGTGAAATGTATTTACAGTGCCAACCCTGTTGAAAAAAACAGCATATGCTGGTTAGGTATGTTTTGACGCTGGGATGCTGGTTTAAGCTGGTCCGTTGCTGGTTTATGCTGGTCCTTTGCTGGTTTAAGCTGGTCCTTTGCTGGTTTATGCTGGTCCTTTGCTGGTTTATGCTGGTCCTTTTGCTGGTTTATGCTGGTCCTTTGCCAGCACATGACCAGCATAAACCAGCAAAGGACCAGCATAAAGGACCAGCTTAAACCAGCATCCCAGCGTCAAAACATACCTAACCAGCATATGCTGTTTTTTTCAACAGGGAAAACAGACAGTCCAACAGTGAACTATCTACAAGTGCACAACAAAAAGAAAATCTAAAGTAGCCTACCAAAGAAACAACAAACAGGACAAATAAACAGAGAAAAATCCAAAACACTAGGTTATTGGAACTTAAGAGTTAGATGTTTTATCCACTGCAATTTGACATTCTCCACAATGTTTATGGGTGGCTTAAGTGTCCAAATACTTTTCAGAGTATAACATCAATTTATTCGTAAAATAAAGTCAACAAATAGCCTACCACTAGATGTCACCAGAGTACTGATATCTGGTTGAGAGCTCTTTATTTTGTAATGAGGAGCGATTGGGTTTGTTTCTAGTTTCTTGTTCATTAAATAATCTGCTATAAATTTAAACCGAGTCAAATTTTCAAAGCTATATTTGCATTTTCTGTTCATTCATGGTGTAGTCGTAGAATGTGAAAAATGATAATACTAAATTGTATAAAATTCAAAAACGTGTTTGCTAATGTAGCCTAATCAGCGTTATACTTGCATTAAATAATCTGATATAAGGTTACCCGGAGCCAAATATAGGTAAAGCTATTTGCATATTCCTTCAAAGTCAAGTCATAAACTGTGAAAAATAATACTACTAAATTGTATAAAATCCAAAAATGTGTTTGCTTATGTGATTTTCGTAGTTTATTGTTCGATTTTCCCATGCATAAATACAAGGAAATTAATGTTCACGTCCTCACAGGAACTCAAAATAACTGCGTGGGATGAAGCGATATACAGAAGTGGCTTTCAATCTCTTCACTCTCATCAATTGCAATTTCGCTGAAACTGTATTGAAACTGTTTGAGTAAATGTGGGCGTTCAACTCAAATGACATTCACTTATTTTCATTCCCCTACAATCTGACAGAGTGTTCGAATGTAGCAACTCTCCACCATGAAACAGATTTTTCTTATAAGGTGTCTTCAGGCTTTATAAAGGTCAGGGTCCTGTCGGATACTCTACATCTGAGGATGCATTTACTCTTACATTGAGGACGCGAAGAGCAGCGCTCTAGAGATCGGGGGAGGAGTCACAACACGATCACCTAGTAACCAGTAACGTAAACTGACCAGAAGGGTCGTAAATACGAAACCCGATCCGCGAAGTCGGATCTTTTGTGCAGCTGCTTCAACGCTCGCAGACTGAACTTGTCTCGAGATTGAGAAGACAACCCTTGCGAATTTTAAAGGAATAAAGAAAAAGCAATACGCAACATATGGACAACGTGGAAAAGCGTCGATGCGCGCGGCTGGTATTAAGAGACAGGAGTTCATAAATAGACAACGGAAGCTTCCTCGAGCCACTGGATAAACCCGAAATTTCACACATTTTTATTTGGTAGGTTTTGGCGTTTGCATGTTATCATTTGATATACTCATTTTCATATTTGCAATGTTTTCTACCGTGAAATTTTTATGAACTTAAGAACTTCTGCATCGAGACGGCGAAAGTAACTCCAGTTTATTGCTGTTCTAGTAAAGCGAATGAATCGAGAAAGTTTTCTCTTTTTGACTGGAGATAATGGATCACAAATTGCTCAAGCATGTTTATTATTATTATTAGTAGTAGTAGTATTACAATGAATATTCAGATATATAGTGTTATTCTTATAGACCACCAGCGGCGAAAAATGATTAGATAAACAACATACTTTTTGTTAACTGGTTTTGTGTTTTTGTACCTTAAAGTACATCACATACACACGTTTGTCGTTAATTTGCGCTAACAAACAAAGTCAGAAAAAGTACTTTACTTTGTCTCGTTCCTCTTTTTTACCTGCTGTTATGCTTTAGTTTGTAAGCAATATGTGTCTTCACAGACCTCACGCGATTAAAGCGTGCGCGTCCCTGATTGACGTAGCGAGTTGATTGTTGGCTTCAGCGGTCAGAGTTTGAGCGGTCAAGCTGGTCATTATGTTCTTTTGTATTACGTTCAGACGTCTCAAGTGAGGATCATGGTAATATCTAACGTTACAAAGTTAATAACTGAGCTACACCGCACGAAAATACTCGGGTGGTTGAAGCGGAGCTTTCAAACAAAGCGCAAGTCAAGTTTCTCTGATGAGCTGTTTCGCGTTCTGATAAGTTCTGGAAGCCTGTATAGCTGAGTAAGAAAACATAATTTGTTATATTACCAAACAGGCACTACAGAAGTGGATGACACATCAGATGTGTGGTCCAGGTTTTTCCTGTTTTTTTTAGGACAGAGTTTTGTTAAAGAGATAAAAATAATAATAAAAAATTCTACTTACCATGTTGTTTTAAGCCTGTCTCTCTTTCATCTCTGGAACAAAGAAGGATATGTTTGTCTTTCATAGAGTTATAGTAGGCTAACTAGTATTCCATATGTGGACGGTGACTGCATCTTTTTAATAAATAGCTTAATTTTAGTTTGTCTTTCACAAAAATCTACCCTATTCCTTTAGAATACTAGCAATACGGTGCATGATCCGAATAGACAACTTTCATTATGCTTTTACTGTGTTGTTTTGTCTTTTTGTCTTGATAACCCTTGGTGATTCCTATCTATTTTCATTGCATAGAGGTGAGCAGTATTAATATTTGTCACAACTTTTGTGTGTTAGACAGAAATTGTATACCTTATGAGTTTGGACTGACATGAGGCTTTCTAAATGGTGACAGAGCTTTATTTATTTTTTATTTTTTATTTTGGTGAACTGTCCCTTTAAGTGTGGTTCATGTAGGTCATCACCACAATTGCTTTCACACAGTACAGCCATCAGTCATAACAGTGTAAAGTGCAAGCTGACATCTGCCCCCCTCACATTTGCGGTTGGTTCCTGTTCTGTGTGGCATCGTACACGCACAGCATGGATAATTTATAGCTCTTTATCTGGTTGGGTTAGTGACTGTTGTACTCACAGCATAACGGCACAGCCATGTCGTGTGATCAAACATTATTGACTTGAACAGTCAATAACTGTGACAACTGTGGTTTTTCATTCTCAGTACCACAGAGAAATGCTACTTAAAGCAGCATGCAACACAATGAATGGCCCAGCACACATCGTTTAAGCATTTATAGAGAAGAGAGCTGCTCTTTTGAGGACATTAACGTTTAATTTACACCTACTTATGTCTTCAGATCGAGGTTATGTTGGACCCTTTTACATTTTGAATTAGTCAGGGTTGACTTATTTTAGTACTGAAGTGAGTTAGATGCTTTTGACACATTTTAGCAAGTATAAAAAGCGTTGGTTCTTGTGTTTTCTTATGACTTTTTGGAGTCCTGTCAATTGAAATTTACCAATTTGGTGAGAGAGTAGAGAAAAGTTTGCATAGTGTGATGGGGCTCATTGGAATTCTCAAACATCATTGTTTAAATTCATTTGTGAGGGTAAATGTTGAAAATTTTTAACTAGAAACTGGATTTGTTTCAGTGTTGGAGCCCAGGTTTATTGTGAAGCTTTGAAACTGGTGTTGATGAATCATCTTGAAAGCCGTCACCATCTGCCAGACGTTTTCCAGGTCTGTTTACCCCTCGTTCGTGTGCCTTATCCCTTCAGCAGAAATGTTGCACTTCATACAAAGGCTTAAAAGTTGTGAGCAGCGAGAGCATTGTGTCTTTTTCTGTATGCAAAACATGTCTGGCGAGAAGACTGTTTAGTTATCTGAGCTCTCTCTCCATGATGAGGTGTGTTTTTTTTGGACCTTTCCCCTGCTCGTAAAGTGCTGAGGGAGATGCAGAAAATCACATCAGCCTCAAAAATTCCCATGAAAAACCATCAGCATACAACGTGACGTTTTCATGCTAATAATTTGGCTGCATAATTGTGGAAGTTTATTGATTTCCACTACTATTGCTTTTTAAAGCCATTTTTACCATTTTTTTCCATTTTGCTGATTGTCTCAATTTTTTTTCTTTTTTTTTTGTATATTCATTATTAAAAAATACAAAAATATCCAAAATATAATATTTTGTAATGTGGCAAGACTTCCTGCAGATTACAGTAATTATGTCAGTTATCAAAGCTGCCATAAGCATTGGGATTTTAATACAGCGTTTCCATTTATTTCAAAATAATCAGATAAAATAAAATAATCAGTATTTATTAACCTTTGGGTAAAAAAAAAAAAAAAATCACTGAGTCATATCTAGTTTGACTCGGACACATTTGCGTAGCCCGATCATGTCTGGATTATCTGCTGCACCTGCAAATTGACTGTACTATTCTTCTCATTGTACACCCCCCTATCTCCCCGCCGCCGCTTGCTCACTCGCTTTTTTAATGTTATTTAAATTTTTTTTAAAAGAGTATTTTAGTAAATTTCACTGAAGCCACTTATTGTAATATATGCTGTGTGTCGGATTGTTTAATTGAATTCAAAATTATTATTTTTTTTTAGGGATGCACCGATACCACTTTTTCCAGTACTCGCCTGATATCGATACTTTTATTTTTGGTACTTGCCGATACCGAGTACCGATACCGATATTTTTATTGCATTTATACATTTTTTAAATTTTGGGTACAGAAACCAAAGGAGTATGTATAATGTTAGTTGGTTAACTTTATTTATCAAATAGATACAGTCAAACCAAAATTTATTCAGACACCTTCAACATTTCTCACATTATCACAGTTTACTCGCTATAGTTTAGAAAATGGTAATAAAATATGACAAGAACTCAGAGTTACACTGTGTCAGAACAAATTCACTGTTCTCCTCCACTTAAGACATAAACTGTGTTTAAGTAAATACTCTCCAAGCCGGCCATTTTGACATATTTTTGTGTGTATTTGATCGATTGGACATGCGCCCGAAGCTCAAAGTGTAATTTGTTTGTCCGTTTTGGAGCGTGCCGCGCTCACACATTTCAGCCTGAGGAACAGTGTCTCTTGTGCGGATTGTGCTTTCAACGTTTTATTATCAAACATGTCCCGCAATTTAGCAACAGTGTAAGACGGCCTTTTTTCAACAATCACCGATTGTGCTGATTCTGACTTTAAGTTTGGGTTTTAGGGAGGAATGAATGCGCACCGCTGTGAAGGGGAAAAAAGTTGCGCTAGAAGAAATGCGGCTATGATCCTTAAAAGCCAAAATCGAAATAAAAAAAATTCATTAGCTTAATAAAACAGCCACAGGCCTAAAGTGTAAGCAGACGTTTGAATGTTTAGTTCTCTCCTCTATCATAATTAAGCAGGGCTTTCATGTTGCGCGTGCTGAAGCTCCTCCGCGTGGGCGCGATCTCGCTTCTGAATTGTGAATAGCAAAAATGCATCATAGACAAATGTTTGAAAAACAGCTGGCGACTCTGGTGAGATAGAATTTGCAAGATAATGTATATATAGCAAAAATAAATGTTTGTGTGTTTTCTTAATTTCTCTGGTACCGATAGCAGAACCGTTAACGTCAGAGCTTATCGATACTCTGGTCTTTCATAATTTAGCCCCGGGACCGATTAAATACCGGGTTTCGGTACTCTATCGGTAGGATAGGGGTGGGCGATATGAGCTAAAATTCATATCATGATATTTTACACTGTCCAGGCGATATCGATATTATATTGCGATATGAGAAAAAAAAATTACAGGCAAAATATTTTAACCTTATATAACTAGAAAAAGTGAGGGATTGGACATAGACCTGAAAAGTCTTTTTTTATTGTATCATTGTTTTTCTCAAAAAGTGCAAACATGCAACATGAGGTAGGCCTGTATGAATTAAATTAAATTAAAACTGTCCAGGCGATATCGATATTATATTGCGATATGAGAAAAAAAAATTACAGGCAAAATATTTTAACCTTATATAACTAGAAAAAGTGAGGGATTGGACATAGACCTGAAAAGTCTTTTTTTATTGTATCATTGTTTTTCTCAAAAAGTGCAAACATGCAACATGAGGTATGCCTGTATGAATTAAATTAAATTAAATATTGTGTGTTTGAGTAGGCCATTGGTTCCCAAACTTTTTCTGCCGGGCCCGTTTTGTAGAGGAAAAATATTTTCAAGGACCCCCACCCTCTCTTTTTTTTTGGAAAGACTTTTATGCTCACCAAGGCTACATTTATTTATTAAAAATACAGTAAACACTGTAATATTGTGAAATATTGTCCATTTAAATTATCTATTTGAATGTTTTAACATATAGACCTCTGTATTTCTGTGATGCGCAGCTGTATTTTCAGCATCATTACTCCAGTCTTCAGTGTCATATGACCCTTCAGAAATCATTCTAATATGCTGCTT